TTGACTTGCTTCAAGGTCACCACCAGGTGGTCCTCCGGACTCTACCCGCTGCCCGGTGTCACCATGCGTGCGACCTAGGGTCACCATCACGGCCCCATCGACCAACGAATGGAGCGCGTTGTTAGCACCCAGGCAGTCAGAGCATACTGTAAAATCTAGGGTCACAATCGTGGCCCCACTAGGGAGTGAACAGGCCCCATCGTTGACATCCAAGCAGCCAAAGGCAACACCGCCGACGCTGAAACTAGAGCAGCCCGAGATGCGTCCACCACAGCCAGTGTTGTTGGCGCGGGTGCATACATTCAGGTGGCCCCGACCAAAGAGGAGGATGCCTTCTTCACCGAGAGGATGCATGGCCCTAGCGGCCGACCCAGACTATTCATGTTCTAGGACGTCTGCCTCGACGATGAAACACGCCTATGATCAAACCACCTAATGATTGCGTCATCAAGATCAAATGGTCTATTTGTTCCAGCGAGCTTAGGAATCTTTTCATTAGATTTGGACAAAAATCCATTCTAGTGAGTCATGGACTTACACAATTAGGAAATGGGGAAGATACATGTGCTATTGCGTTAGTAGCCAGCAAACTCTATCTATTCCCCATAGCTAGAAGATATAATAAAGTGTGCCCCACACAAGCAGAATACACACATTTTGCAAAAATATCACTACCGCTAAACAGAGATTGACTATAGAATAGATAATAGTACTAGAAGTTAAAATCAACATGTGAACCTTCTTATATCACTGAAAAGATTGAAAAAACACATCTCCAACAACTCCAAATTTCACCTCTCAATCTTTTGGCACTTGGAAAAAATAACCCCCACGCGTGGATACATCCACGTAGTCCTGGTCGCGCGTACCCTTGTTCATGCCTGCCCCGCCTCTCTCCTCGACTTCATCTTCTCGCTTCGAGCTCACCACCAGGAGGTCTGTAACACTCGAGAGTCCAAACGGCTCAGATCTGTGTTACACGTTGAGTGAACCACACCTACCATCATCCCACTTACACTTTCGTCCTCGCTTCGTGTAAAAGGATTAACCAGGGGATGGTGGGATGGACTCTAGAAGCCTTATATGTTGGTCTAACCCACCTTTAACAACTAAGATGGGACTAAACCCCCCATAATACCTCATTAACAAGCACATGGGCCATATTCCAAACTGGGCCGAATGTGACAAGGTCCTCTGGACTCTACCGCCGCTTGGTGTCACCATCCATGCCCTATCGACCAGCAACGGAGACTCACCACCGATGCTAGAGCAACCCGGGGCGCGTTGTCAGCACCTAGGCATCCAGAGCATACCGTAACATCCAGGGTCACAATCAAGGCCCCATCGGCCAGCAAAGGTGCGTCATCGTAGACACCCAAGCAGCCAGAGGTGATGTTGCCGGAGTCAAAACTAGAGCAGCCCGAGATGCGTCTGCCATAGCCGGTGCCGTTAGCGCGGGTGCTGATGTTCTAGTGGCCCCCGACTGTAGAGGAGGACGCCTTCTTCACCAAGAGGCTGCATGGCACCAGGCCGACCCAGGCTGCCTGTGTTCCAGGACATCTGCCCAACGACGAAACACACCTATGATTCAACAGACTAATGATTGCATCATCAAGATCAAAAGGTCTATTTGCCGTAGCGAGCACAGAAATCTTTTCACAAGATTTGGATAAAAGTCCATTCTAGCGAGTCATGGATTTACACAATTAGGAAATGGGGAAGATACATGTGCTATTGCGTTAGTAGCTAACAAACTCTACCTATTCCCCATAGCTACGAGATACAAAAAAGTGTGCCACACACAAACAGAATACACACATTTTGCAAAAATATCACTTTCGGTAAACATAGAATGACTATAGAATAGATAATAGTTCTGAAAGTTAAAATCAACATGTGAACCTTCTTATCACTTTGAATTTATCCTTAAATCATTTTTGGGAGTTCCTCGAAGTCAACACCTTCGATATTCTCTTTGGAGAATAGCTTGTACAATTAGCTCTCTACTCTGAAGAGTAGGCATAGTAAGCATTGTCTTGTTTTATATCACTTTGAATTTATATAACATGGTATATCCACAATTAAGAGCATCTCTTGTTTTATATCACTTTGAATTTATATAACATGATATATCCACAATTAAGAGCATCTCCGAGAGTTCCCAAAAGACTCTCCCAATCCTTTGATTTTTGGAAAGATTGAACACATCTCCAACAACTCCCAATTTCACCTCCCAATCTTTTGGCACGTGGAAAAATGACCCCACGCGAGGATACATCCACACAGTCACGGTCGCCCGTATCTTCATTTGTGCCCGCCCTACCTCTGTCCTCAACCCCGTCGACTCACTTCGAGGTCACTACTAGGAGGTTCTTCAGACTCTACCCGCCACCTGGTGTTGACCAGCAACGGAGACCCGCCACCAACACCGGAGCAGCCCGTACGATACAAGGTCACCATCACGGCCCCGTCGGCCAATGAATGGGGCGCATTGTCAGTGCCCAGGCAGTTAGAGCATACCATAACATCCATGGTCACAATCACAGCCCCGCCCGCTAGCGAACAGACCTCATCGTCGACATCGAAGCCGCATGTGGCAACATCGCCGGCGCTGAAAAACCAAAGCAGCCCGAGATGCATCCGCCACAGCCGGTGCTGTTGGCGCGGGTGCTAACATTCTGGTGGCCCCCGACCATAGAGGAGGACGCCTTCTTCACCGAGAGGCTGCATGGCCCCTAATGGCCAACCTAGGCTACCCGTGTTCCAGGACGTATGCCCCGACGACAAAACACGCCTAAGATCGAACCGCCTAATGATTGCATCATAAAGATCAAATGGTCTATTTGTTGCAGGGAACACCAGATCTTTTCACTAGATTTGGACAAAAGTTCATTCTAGTGATTCATGGATTTACACAATTAGGAAACAGGGGAGATACATGTGCTATTGTGTTAGTAGCCAGCAAACTTTATCTATTTTCCATAGTTACAAGATAAAAAAAAAGTGTGCCACACACAAAAAAATACACACATTTTGCAAAAATATCATTTTCGCTGAACATAGAGTGACTATAGAATAGATAATAGTATTGAAAGTTCCATAAAAAAAGATAATAGTGATGTGATTGGGCCGCCAACTTAACCTATGGGCTAGCACGGCGCGACCTAGCTACTCTGTCATGCCATGCCAGGCATGGTTTAATCGGGTGGTGCCTTGTCGGGCTCTGGCTAGGTCGCGCCAGGCCACCAATTCGGGCATGTATAGATGTAGTTACTTTAATTTTGTGGCGACTAATTGGCCGTTAGAGCATCTATCCATTGGCGATAAAGAGAAACCATAGGAGAGAGAAATGAGTGAGAACTTGTGCTAAGTGATTTAAGAGCATCTCCAAGAGGTTTTTTTAAGTCACTCTCTAAATCCTCATTTAGAGAGTCATTTGAATAAAAATTGCTCTCTATATCTTTTCATCTTCCAACAACTTGTCTATATCTTGTGCGCAGTTTGTAGAGTTATCCCCGCTCTCCATTTTTGGCTAGCAAGAAAACAAGGATGACAATATTTGAGGATCTAATTAATAAGAAGTTGTTGGAGTGCTTTTTTCCAAAAAAATTCTAATCCTATCAATACGAAAGGATGTCAAGAGCCTCTTGAGTTGCTCCGAGCATGTGTGTTAATGCTAGCATGCATATCATGATTGCTAAGGTTTGCTACTGCCTACTAGTACTAGGACTATTTCTAATGAGAAAAATAAATATTTTGAATTAAGAGATACTCGTATATACCGCTAAGAAGAAGCAATGCTATTTGTCAAAAAGAAGAAGAAGAAGAAGAAATGCTAGATAGCTACCCTTAGCACCTAAATCAAGGGGTAATAATAAAGATGTACATGTTCTTAATGATAGCTTATCTAACAATGTAGATGTGAAGTTTATCGCTAAGATGCATGGCCATCAATCTCCAAATATAGTAAGGCTCATCTGCAACTTCCATGTTTCCTATACGTAAATTGGTTTTCCTACACATTTATGTACAGTTATAAGTGCACTTTCATAAGATATAGAAAACTAACATACCGATGCCTTAGGATTTGCTGTTCGATCTTCTTTTGTCCTGTCGTACGTCTTGCATCTTTTGGTTTAGCTTTTGATATATTTCAGATCAAACGCCTCCAAGAGACCAAGACTGCTAGGGCCCAACAGATAGAAAAGCTGACACCTATAGACCAAAGCCCTAGCACCAGCAAAATAAACCTGAAATTATGGAAAGGGAGGGTACGATGAAACAACCCTAATATTGAATTTGATCATGAATAAAACATTTGATGTGGTAGTGAAATTGCATGACCCTAAGGGCCCGAGAAGGCCCACTATTATAAACTAGCATTTAACTAGGCCTGAAAGGGCACCTGACTCAGAAGCCAGAATTGGGCCGAGTCTACATCTACTGACCCGGCATAGTGTGCAGCAGGGGTATAGCCTGGTAGGCCAGGAAGGCCAACCTACTGGACCCAAGTACCCAACGACCACTCAGGGCCCATCTACCCCTTGGTTATGTTCCGGGCCGGCCGAAGCCCAGGCCCAGCGGCTCGCCGACGCCGCCAACGCAAAAACGGCAACACACACACCCCCACCTTCCCCACGCGTCGGGCACGAAGGCACGGAAGCCGACGAGGCGTTTCCATTTCCGGCGTGCCTCGCACCGCGTTCAATCGAGCCGGAACGAACCCCAAACAAACCCAAATGCTCGATCCGGCGGATCGATCGCGTCCAATCTGGAGCCAGCCAGCAGATAATCCCGGTCTTGTGACCCGATTCCGACTGCCACGGGAAGCGCCGGCCCCCAAATCATCACTGCCTGCATCGACTCGGCACGGCACGGCACCCCCGGGCCGTCGGCTCCTCGTGTCTCGGCACAAATCTACGGCCTTTGTCCGTCCGGCGGCTGCTCGGATCACACTACCAGCGCTAGGCCTAGGGTTTGGTATCGAGCGGATCGAGGCCATGGAGAGCGAGGGCAACGCCGCCGCCGCTGGTGCTGGCCACTGGGAGGCGCCGAACGGGGTGATCGTACTGCCTGTGGGGTCGGCGGCGCCGAGGTTCCTGCAGCAGGAGCCCCAGTACCTGCAGCGGAAGCGTGAGATGGAGCGGGAGCAGCAGGACCCGGGGGCGGCGGGGGCGGACCCGGGGGTTTTGGGGCTGGACCTCACGCAGCCGCCGGAGAAGGTGTACTACAAGACTAGGCTGTGCGAGAAGTTCGAGGCGGGCAAGTGCGCGTACGAGGACGGGTGCACCTTCGCGCACGGCTTCGACGAGCTGCGCCCGCCGCTGCCCGTGCCGACCTCGCTCATCCGGCGGAAGTCGCCGCTGCGGCCGCGGTCGTCGTCGCCTGGTGCCGCCGCCGACGGCTCCCAAGGCGGCGGCGGCTACCTTAGGGTGTGCTTCGAGTTCAGGGACACGGGGGCCTGCCACCGGGGGGATAGGTGCGCCTTCGCCCACGCTTCCCCAGCAGGTACGTGCGCGCTCGCTCCACACCTCCCTATACGTGTGCATGGCGGCCGATCGCTCCCGGATCTCGCGGATCGTGCCCTGATCTACCTCGTCCCTGTGTTCTGGCGCAGAGATGCCCTTCCCTGGGGGGCCAAGGTCTGTGGAGCATGCGCTGAGGAACGCGTCGCCGTATGCAAAGGCGTACTCCTCGCCGGGGTCCGCGGCCGCCGCGCACCGTAGCAGCAGCAGCAGCAGCAGCAGCTATGCACCGTCTTCCATAAGGTCGTTCCCGTCCGTTCCTGCCGACGTGGCCGGGGAGGGCCGTCGTCGCAAGGTCACCCGACTGGAGCTCCTGAGCCGCAAGAAGATGAGCGGCATCTACGGCGACTGGCCGGAGCAGGACTGAGTGCGCACCATGCATCACCTACCCGATCGAAGCTGCCATGTCTACCTTCCTGCCTTTGATCACCGTGACAACATCCAGAATAATTAAAGAACTGAGCAATCTGCTATTTTGATTTGAACTGATTTGAAATTGTTGCGCTTGTACTTCGTTTTCTGCTGAACCCGTGCATGTACCTCGTTTCCTGCTGAACCCGTGCATGTAATCCGCCTGATCAGACCTCTGCATTCCTGCCATCATTTCTACTTTCATAAGACTGGAATAATTTTAAGTGTTGTGCTGTTGCTTTCACTCCTAGCTGTCCGTCGTCCTCTGTTGCCTCTGTTTGCCTTTGGGCCAAATGGTTCCATGGTTTTGACGCGGCCCATTGGGCTCCCACGCCATTTCTTGCTGCGTGAGTGCGTGGTGTTGTGGCAGTCAGAGAGAAGGAGAGACTGGGAGAGGAACAGAGAGAGTTGTGGATCTGTCAATTTGCAGGGGAGTGGAATTGGATCCCAAGGACAAGGGGCAGAGGGTTGCAGAGCTGCAGCCTGCAGCAGGGGGGAAGGGAAGAGGAGATCATGGGTTCTGGGATTGGAGCCTTACTGGTGCTTCTTGCAGCATGTCTAGCGTCTGCGCCGCCCTGCACTTTGGTTTCTTCCCGCAAGTAAGTTTCTTTCTCATGCCTCTTGTTCTGACGGATTTGGATCTACACAGCTGTTGTTTCAGAAACCAGTTGGGGTGGGCTTATTGATTTTTTTTCTCGGATAGGATATGTAATTGAAGGGCGGGCCTGGTGCCTCTAGAGTCTTACCGCATGTGATCGGAAGGTTCTGGTTCGAGTCGCGGTCTTCTCGTAATGCACGGGCGAGGGTAAGGCACTCACCCTCTTCCCCCAGACCCGCACAGAGCGGGAGCTTAGGATATGTAATTGGGTTCCCCTTCATTTATGTAACGGTTGTTGATGTGGGAAATGTTGCTAATTATTATGCCTGCTCAAACCAATTAACTGCATGTTCTTTGAAGGGTAGTCATAATATTTCCTCTAGTATATGTTGATGTTTTTCATCTTTTTAGCTAATTAGGGATATGAATGAGGTGACCACATCAGATGATTAAATTGGTGTAAGAAATGACCCGTGGAACATGAAAGGCAGTTCGAAATCAACTGCAGACAGCCAAGCAATGCAATTAAAAGTACAATAAAAGTGAAGAGAAATGGGGAAGAAATGGGATAGAAAGCTAATATATGTTGTAAATGTGAGAGGAGGATAGCTTGGAAATCAAGAGTACTGGGGTAGAAAGAACTAATGTAGAATTGAAATAACAAAGGAGATAACAGGAACCTGAGCTAATAAGGATGCATTAAAACATACTTCTGTAATTTTTTTTTCAAGTGTTACGAAGATTTTGAAGTGCAAAGCTGCCGGCCTCAATCGTTGGCGCCCGGCGCCCTGGCGCTCTTCCGTTGCTCCCGTAAGTGGGCAGCCAGCGAAAATAATTCATTTACTTTCTGTTTTTACAGATTCGATTTGAGTATCACAGGACGAAATTTAGTGAACTCTACAGATGGCTCCTCTGCAACGATACATTTTGGTTTTGATTCTTCAAAATCAAAACGACTATCTTGGCATCCAAGGTATATTTCATCACTGCCCTCTATAGTTTGATAAACCAACAGCTTATTTAGTTTCCATGTTGAATACAGTGCATCTATTGACTGCAGTTCATGAAATATCTTATCTTTGGATACTTATAATTTTGTGCCTGGAAATCTCTCTGCCTTGAAAATCATATGGCCCTGATTTGTTTTTTACTTCTGCTTTTTTTTTACTTGGAGGAGTACCTTGTTTCTTACCTTAATTCAGGGTCTTCTTGTATGAAGGTTTTCTTTCTGACATGGAGTGCGACCACTTGATATCTATGGTATTCCATTCTGCTTATCACTGACAATATGTTCTCATTGTCTTTGTGATTGAAGATAATATTTTCATTGTTGCAGGCACATGGTAAGAAGCAATCATCATTAGTTGTTGGTGGTAGTGCTGGAAATAATTCCCAGGATGCAAGCATCGAAGTGTTCATGGCTGATAGCAAAGTGAGCCTAACCAGCGACGGAGCCAGCGGTGGGGCTAGCCCCCCCTAGCGATCCTGGGCACATGGAGCCCCCCTAAGTCCTCCCTTAAAATTTTATGCATATATGTATTAGGTAGGAGGGGCTAAGGTTAAGAGAAGATAAAAAAAGCCTCTATTCTTTTGTTCAGCCCCTTCTAAATTTTTTTCTGGCTTCGTCACTGAGCCTAACCTTCATTTCATGATATTCTGATGAGTGGTTCTTTTAGGATTTTGTAGAAAAGTTCATGCATAGACATTGAATCTCTTTGTTCAACAATTTAGTAGGAGTATTTTGTCTGTGATCAAATTATCATCTGTGAGCTATAATGATAATTAACAAATGTGCACGTTACCAGACACCAGTTAAATGAAACTGAAATTCTGCCCCTTTCTGGTTGGCAACCCATTAAATAAATGTGTATTTCTTCATGATTATTTACAATCTGCAGTAGTATATCATAGATGTTAACATATCAGCATAATTGAAAGTCTGAATTTACTGTCTTTTTCTCATGGACTGTTCTGCTTTTAAATTGAAATATGGTTTTAATCTTATTATATATCTTATCATCCTTATGAAGGACACAATTGTTTCAACAATTGAAGATAGGATATCAGTATGGAGCTTTCTTCCAAAAGGTACCACTTGGTTTACATGATCATGATCTACTCTTTTGTAATTCTGTGTAAACCTGCATTCTGTGTGCTGGGATATTGAAATTTTTAGTGTTCTTCAGATTTTGGAGAGAGTATGCAGATTTTGAAGTATGAGGTGAACAAAAGTGACTATAATAACTATGAACCTCAATCAAGCAGTGGCCATGATAGGTTTGTGACAGTTTTGATGTATCTTTCTGATGTCAAGAGAGGTGGTGAAACTGCCTTCCCCAGATCTGAGGTAATATTGTTTTGCCATTGCACCTACTTGTGACGACCCCTTTCCAGAATTTTATGTGCTTTTACTCTATGCATGATTTGTTCTTTTTTTTTAATATTTCAACTGATGTATGGAAGAAAAGTTCTTATACCAAACTATGTTTATAGCTTAAGGGCACCAAAGTTGAGCTAGCAGCGCCATCTGAATGTGCTGGTTATGCTGTACAGCCTGTCAAGGGGAATGCAATTCTGCTATTCAATTTAAAGGCTGATGGAGTAATAGACAAGGATAGCCAATATGAAATGTGTTCTGTCCTCGAAGGTGAGGAATGGCTGGCCATAAAACATATCCATTTGAGAAAGATTGATACTCCAAAATCTTCATTGGTGTCCGAAGATGAGTGCACAGATGAAGACGATAGATGCGTCAGTTGGGCTGCTGGTGGGGAATGTGACAGGAATCTGATATTTATGATAGGAACTCCAGACTACTATGGGAGTTGTCGGAAGAGCTGCCGTGTGTGCTGAGTGTTTCAAGATTTTCCTGAGTAGAAACATGATTGTTGTAGGCAGAGGATGGCTCAACAAAGTTACATGGTGCTAGATTATTTTTACACTTGTCAGCAAATGTAGTTTGGAACTCAAACCAAACACTACCTGAGTCTGGATGTTTAATTAAGTTTTTTGGATAGTTTTGAGTTCTTTGGATTGACTATTCTTCCCAAAATATATATATATATATATATAAATAATGTGTCGCTCGCTAACTTTGTTCTATCAGGCATTGTGGAATGCGGTTCTTGATTCAGAGTTACATGTGAGCAGGGTTCTCTGATTCATGGATAATTTGGTCATTTTGTGGTGTGAGCTTTATGTGTTACTTTTTTGTTAAACAGACGCTTCATACTTTACACCCTTTTGACTTTGGAGTCGACCTCACCATGGGCCTCGAAAAAAGAAAAAAACTGATCCAATCCATCTCAACTGGTGCATCAGGTGGGTCAGACTCATGATTTTTGACCCGCAACAATCATCGGGTCAGGTTCAATACCCAACTCGATGTCTGTTTGGTGGCGCGGGCAAAGAAAGACTTAATGTCGTGCGCTCGTGCTCGAGCTAGCAAAAAAACACTAGCAAAAAAAATTGTCAGGTATTTTGGGCCGGACCTAAACCTGACTTGACTCATGTCTACTTTGCAGTTGCTCTAGACACACAATGTGATGATTGCTTTTATTATGCCTCGTTTGAAACTTGTGATTTCTTTTTCAGAATCCCGTGTTTTATCTATTGTGAAATTAAACAACGTCTGTGAATTCCCTGTACGATTTCTATTCTAGCGTTTTCAAACGGAGCCTTAACTTTTTAATAGAGAAATTTCAGTATGGTTTCCGACAATCCATCTTTGTTAGCTAGACATCTAATCGTGCACCATAACAAATACTTGCCAAATCTGGATGTTTCCTATTTGATCCCAAATCAAAATGTCAACAAAAACCCGGCCATAACTAGGTGATTGTTAGACAAACAACAAAAGGGATCTTTTTGAGAAAAACATTCTAGTGACTACATACCACAAAATTAAGTATGAAATTCAAGTATAGCACGTACCTTTTGTGGCGCCTTTGGTTGTGGTTCTTGGTCCAAATATCTTAGGCCATCTGACTTTTTTGTCATGATAGACCTCAAACATTGAACATAGCATCAAACCTAAATTCAAAGGTGAAATATGTGAGAACAAGTTATGTTTTTAGGTAACGATGGATATGGTAGACGCAAGGTTACATTTGGCGCTAGCTAGGCGTTGACCCTATGTCTAGAGCCTAAGCGAGCCTACGCGTTTTAAGGCGTTTTGTACACATATACATTTATATTTTTGTTGAGAATTACACGGTACAGTGAGACGTCCATAACACGCACGCACACTCACCCCTATGAATACACGTACGCAAACCCTACACCCTACCCTTATGAGCACCTCCGAAGGACTGAAGCCGGCAGATCTCGAGATTCACGAAATCACCACTGGCGCCTCGCGCCTCGCTGTCGACGAGGACATCGCCTACTACTGATAGCATAGCGCCGTAAAATCCTGTAATAAATCCAGAAAAATACGAGCACCTATGCCAAGTTGAGGACTTGAACACGGGTGGGTAGGTTTCACCACAAGAAACCTAACCAACCGATCTATGATCAGTTCGCACATATACATTTACATGTATTGCATCTAAAAGAAAAGAATAAACCAGAACAATGGGCTTAGATTGGGGAAAAAAGGCCCATCAAAGAGTCCAGCCCACCTTACCCACTCCCAATCTTATCCATCGGCCTCTTCCTAGTTCCACTCGCACGCCCGCACTCGTCGCCTGCCGCCTCTGCCTCCTTCCAGTCGTGCTCATCGACCACTGCCTCTGCCTCCTCTAGGCCATGCTCATCGCCCGCTGCCTCTGCCTCTTCTCCCGACCGCTCCCGTCACCCACCGGCCATCGGGCGCCCACCGCTAGCCTCCTCCTGGGCACGCTCGTTGCCTTCGACGCCACCCGTTGTCACTCCCTCAAGCAACAGAGCTTTGGATCTAGGGACACGCCACCTATCCTCCTTATGAAGGCGGTGCCCTTGTTTCAAGCAATTGAAGCTAGGATAGGCAGTGTAACACCCGGTGTTATGCCTACATTTAACCACTTGCTAATCATACATATCATGCATCATCAACATCCTAATCATGTGCATAATCTTGCATATAACAACTGAACATTACTTGAAACATACTGAAACATGTTTGTGAAAAGTAAATGATGCATACACTTATTAGAGTTGTTTTGCTCGATTCTTGCTTGCTAGTTGAGTAGAAATTGTTGGTTATGCTTGTAAATCATCTAGAATTGTTTAGCACAATTTTTGGAGCAAGGTTTGTATTCAAATTAATTCAAAATTTTGCTTCCAAAGTAATTTCCCAAAATTAGGGTTTTGAGTTAAAATTTAACTTTGAGTCTATAATTTAAAATCTAGATAGAATTGGACTTTGGTCATAAAAGCAAAGTTGTAGGGAATTAAATTCTAAGCAACTTTCATTTTTGGTCCATTTTCAAAAGATGTCATTTTCTTGCTCAAAATGAGATTTGAAAACTGAATTGAAAATCTCTTGAAAATTTAAATTGAAAATCTTCATTTTTCCTTAATATTTCACTGATGTATGGAAGAAAGCAAGCTTATACCAAACTATGTTTATAGCCAAGGGCACCAAAGTTGAGCCTAGCCTAGCGGCTCTTTCTCCACTCGCCTGGTTATGCTGTCACATGCCATGGCAAGGGAATGCAGCGTGGTGATTCTTCTATTCAATTTAAAGCCTGATGGTTCGACAATAGACAACGATAGCCTTTCACTGCTGGTGTGCGTCCTCGCTCAAGGTGAGCGCTCCCTTTTCTCCCCATAAGGCATAGCCTCGAGAAAGATTGATACTCCGGCGTTGAGCTCTCTTCATTGGTTTCCGATTGATGAGTGCCCGCAGATGAAGACGCCTCCCTTAGCTCACGTCAGTTGGGCCGCCTTCCGAGCCCTGGGTGAGCTTTCCGCGCCCGCCACCGACGTTTATGGCGCCCGCCGAACTGCAGACGCCGTGGGCGTCTCCTCTTCCTCCTTCGGAAGAGCTGCCGTGTGTGCTGAGTCGTTTCTTTGATTCGCACAACTCCTGCGCTTCGTGATTGTTGTGCCGTGGGCGGAGAGAATGGAAGCCAAAACAAAGTTACATGGTGCTAGGCGAGGCACTGCCTTGTCAGCCGAAGTCGAGAAATGTAGTGGGTTGGAACTGTTGGGCCGTCTTCCTTCCTTGAGTCTGGATGTTTAATTAAGTTTTGTGGATAGTGAGCCAGTTGTTCCCCACGGCCGGCCTAGATTTCTTAAATGAATTGATTTCCATTTATTATTTGTTAATTGAAATCTAAAATAGTTTATAAAAATATTTGGGTGATCAAACTTGCTCCAAATTTGTTGAAACAAATTTTGCTAGGTTCCTTATCATCAGATCTACTTGGGAAAATTATTGCATGTCATTTTGGGATATTTTTCTGTAGGATTTTATTTAATCATGGATATTGCTGATAACTCAAAAATATGTAGAAAAATCTATAGGCTTCAGAAAAATATGATTTCAAGTTTGTTAATCTTATTATGTAATGTACTTCCTAGGAAAAATATGTTTCATGCATGTGCTGTGGGAAAATTTTGAGGTGTAGTTCAAGTACCTTTAATGGCTGAATTTTGTTATTTTTGCTAGAGAGCAAAATTTGTATAAAACATGCATGTGGTAATTTTTGTACAGTTATTATTGACTGTTTAGAACTTAGGAAAAATACTAAATCTGTTGGTTGACACTTTTCATAGTACAAAGTAATTTCATGCTCATTTTTATGCTATAGCTTGTCATTTTTGTGTAGGATAGTTTACTTATCCAAATGCCATGAAATTTTTATGGTAGTATGTTTAGGGTAGTATTATGCTACTGTAATTTTCTCAGATTTTTAGAAGCATCAGAAATATATGTTGCTATTCAAACCTATTATTAATTAGGGTTTAAGCAAGTGTTGCTTTAAGTGTGATTAAGAAATTAGTAAAGCTTTGGTGTATCTTTGAAGCATTTAATAAGATGTGTTGACTTAACCTATTAGTAGTAGAAGAGAATGCAGTAGATGACATGTGCTTGTAGTATATTTTCTTGGATGATGTGACTACCTTGCTTTTCAACATATCCATTGCATTCATCTCCTTGATGCACCGATTGCATAGGCACTTGCACGCATTGCATCATACGGGATGTGCAAACCGAGAACCCAAAGTCGTCATTCTCGAGGAGCGATTCGAGGTGCAGCCGCAGGAAGTGCCGAAGCCGACGAGGAGGACGTTGAGGAGCTTCCGGTGCCCCGATCACCGTCCGAGCTCTTCGAGAGGCAAGCCCCGAGCATCTTTCTCCCGGTTTGCAATGATTTCATTAAATACTTTACTTTAAATTGATGCATTAATTCGGGAGTTGTTTGCAACCGTTCTTGCATTATACCTTGTTTACCTTTGTTATACTATATCCTTGTTACCCGGTAAATATCTGAGTCAATGCTTAGTTTTTAGACCGGTAGAAGTCGGGTGATTTCTGCCACCGCGAGCTATAGGTGGTTATCGGATCATTTGGATGGCTATGAAGTCATGGTATAACTAAGTGTTAAATGAAGTTGATGTTTTTAGGAGACTTGCGAGTTTTGGACCTGTAGTGTTTACATCGTAGTCGATTAAGGACCGACCGTTGTTGGGCCTCTAAAGTCATGTTGAACGCATGCCTTACATTTAGTTGGCCGGATAAAGTATCTTCCGACCGCTTGAAGGGGAGAATTTTCGGGCCGAGTAGATTGCCCATGCCGACGGCCACGGCAGGTGTGTGGTAGGACACGGGCGGGATGATAAGACCAAAGTGCGGTCGAGCACCCCGGGTACATGTGGTTCTGGCAAACTCGAGATACCGGAAAGTTGACTCGGTGATCAATATCTCACTTTAGCGGGTGAGTGAGATTTGTGTAAGGAATAAATCACCATTTGGTTAGGAATCGATTGAATCGCCATCGCTCCCGGATAGTGAGCACTTGACTTGAGTGACTTCATCGTAGTAAATGTTTATGGAACACTTGGGACAGTTATAGTGAATATGACAGTATGGAAGTTGTTTAATGATCGGTGGTTATCATTAATTGCTTAATCACATGTTTACTCTAGTATAGGTGCAAATCTAGTTTGAAAAGTTAATAATAATTAAACTTGACAATAATGCTTTTAGAAAGGTTCTTGAAATGCTAAAAAATGCTTCTTTTGCAAATGAGAGTCACTACCCTACTATAAAGCCTTCATAATTCCTTGGTGTCATTTATTTTCGGTTATGTCGGGTAAGTCCTGAGTACCTTCTCTCGTACTCGTGGTTTTATTCCCACTTGTTGCGAGATGGGCGGATGTATTACGGCTATTGTATCAAGCCGCCTCTATCCCACGATGGTGATGCTTAGGACCATGGGCATGGTCATTCCTTACGTCTCATCTAATGCTTTTGTTGGAGATGATCATTCACTGGCACTATATTTAAACTCCCGTGAGTGTGTGTGGTTTGAACAAATGACTTCCGCTACTTTTTTATTCGAACCGGTTTGTAATAACTATGTTTAAACTCTGATGTATCTGAGATTGCGAACTTTTATGTAATATGTGATGGTGACCGCTAAACTTATTACGATCATGGCTGGGACACGAGTTGGTTTGAAATCCTTTGTGATTTCACGGACTACCGGGTTATACGGGCTTAAGTTTGTTCAATCGTCTGCTCTGGTGGATGATTTTCTTACTTAATTTCGTATAATTGGTCGGTTCTGTTACAACGAGCGCCTAATAGCGTCGTTTAGAACACTGGCTACTAGACGAAGATGTCGCTTAGCACTACTACATAAAACTTATTGGAGGCGGGTGAAATCGGTTAACGGAGGTGGGCATTGCAGCCACCCCCGTCCAAAGGTCTTCGTTAATACAGACCTACAGAGGTAGTTGCTTTGCCTGCCTCGGTTAACCTATTAACGTGCATCGTCGAGCCCGTCAGCGAGCTTGTTCCTAGCCCACTAGCCGGATCTGGCCATCGTCGGAGAAGGACCGAGCCCCGTGCCACCGCCACGCTGGAGAAGGCTTGAGCCCTGCGTCGCGTCTCTGCCACCGGATCTGGTCGCACCACCACTAGATCCGCCCCTCCAGAACTAGATCCACCATTGTCGGGGGGTAGGGAAGAAGCACCGCTCACCGGATCCGTCGTCGGGGGTGGAGCCGCACCGCCATGCTCGGTGGAGGAGTGGCGCCGCCACCGCAGCCTGCTCGAGTTGAGGAGTGGCACCACCGCCGCAGCCTGCTCGGGTAGGAGGAGGGGCGGCGCCACCGTGCTTGGTGGAGGAGGGGCCCCACTACCAGGTCGAGGGGGAGGGGCACTATCGGGCATGAGAGAGAGGGACGCCACCGCGCACAGGAGAAGGAGGGTGCACGAGGAAAGGAGGGGCGGTGAGGGAGGAGCTAAGAGAGATAAATTAGGAAACCCTAACTCCTGATGTTTATATAAGCCCGATATGTGGTATGGTATGGGCTTTTGGGTGGGCCTCGATATACTTACGGAGGCGGACCTTATAAGGCGTTCTCCTCCGAAAATGACCTCCATTTTTTGAGGCGGACCTCTTCCGTTAATAGATTATAGGAGGCGGTTATTTAGCGACCGCTTCCGTTGGAGCATTAACGTAGACAAACAGCTAAATCTGTCCGCCTCCGTTAATCTTTAACCGAGGCGGGCGCTCGGCCGGCGGCCCTGCCACCGATTAACGGAGGCGGCTGCCTAGCCCACCCGCCTCGGATAATAAAAGGGCAGCGCCTCGCAAAATTTTTTTTTGTAGTGGTGTAGATGGGGAAAGTGGTTACCTTAATCATAAGGATGGCGACGGAGAACCAAACAATGAATAAGGCTGATCCATAGCGATAAACCATGGCAACGATCCTTAAGATGGGGAAAGTGGTTACCTATAGTTGGAAGGTTGGCGTCAGAGAAGCAAGTGACTAGTAGATCCACAACAACAAAGAGATGGTAGTGATACTTACTAAGTGTAGCGAATTAAACATAATGTGACGATGCACATGGGGAAGGCAAAGACGACGACCATAGCAGGAAGAGCGGGCTCAGAGGGGGAGCTTACGGCTGCGGCTATGGTGGTAGTGGGCGGGTGTGGGGGTGTACCAAAGAAAGAGGAGTGGTGGCGGTGCGTGATTATGTTAGGAGGGAGAAGGGAAAGACGCTAGAGGTGGTCTTATTAGGGTTTGCATTGGCACGAATCTCAAAATGATTCGATGGTTTCAACATCTAATAATATCATAACAATCTTTTAGTGTTCATTTTAATTACAAATATATCCTTTGATATTTTGTTAGGAAGGAGGGGGAATGCGCTAGAGGTGGTCATATTAGGGTTTACATCGATATGAATCTCTAAACAATTCGACGATTTCAACATCTAACTATATTACAAGGCGAGATGTTTTATTATAGGCAGCTTAGGATCCGTATACGTTACTATTGACGTTTACATCCCAATCAGTTCTTTTTAAAAAAATTATTACACTATAACCGATGCAGGTTGCAGGGTGACCGAAATGTTCTCGACAGTGCGGTCCTGAGTCCTGACTTTACCTTCCCTTGTATCGCTTCGGCCATCTGTAAAACCACCACCAAAGCGGACACTGTAGTGTGGAAAAACCCCTGCTGGTCCGTTCGTTCCCGTCAGATCGGATCGATCACTCGACGAGACCTCTCACCTCCTCCGCCAGTCGCCATGGCGGCGCTGCTGCTGCGTAGGCTCGCCGGGACCCACCGCGGCCGCGGCCCGCTGGGGGCCGCCGCCGCCGCCGCCGCCTGCGGTGGAGCTGCGCTCTTCTACGCCTCGTCTTCCCCCACCGTTGTACGAAACTGAGAACTGCCTGCTGCTCCCCCCATTTCGTTTCCCGGTTTTTGTTTCCTCCGTTCCTAGCCACTGCTGATTTCTGAATGAGATGTGATGCGTTTTTGGCTTGGCTAACGGTGCCGGATGATTGCAGGCGCACCTGGAGGAGAAGGGCGAAGCCGCTGAGAAAGTTGGTGAGCTGCAACCCCCTTTCTCTCCAAATTTAATCGATCTAGGTTTCGTTGATGTGGGGATTGATCATATTTATGTGTGTGTGCCTATGAAACCTTGTTTGGTTTGTTGCGTGGTTTTATGAGCTGAAAATGATGTTTGCGGCTGGATTCCACTTCCACATTGTTTGGAATATGGAATGGAACATATCAATTTTAGAAGAATTTCGCTATTCGAGAGTGATGATTGCTGTTATGCATGATTGTCCACGGTCACATGTGTTGCTGGAGGCAACCCAAATCCTAGAGTTTACATTAGTTGAAGAGTTCAAGCATTTTAGTATTCATGTTGCTGTATAGTGAAATCGTTGCACCCTACATAAGGTCTGTTCTTTCATGTTACATATTACAATGAATAAGTTTACACAGATATGGTTAATCTCTGTTTTTTCCCTACTTTTATCATTTATAAACCACCACTAAGGTTACAAAATTTAGATAGTCTCAGCATACTGATGAACTTTTCCTTCTTATGCTTACATTATATGGTCGTTAGTGTTGTTTACTTGTTTCTTGATGGAACATTGTCTTGTTTTTCAGCACTTAACCCTGATAAGTGGTTAGAGTTCAAGCTCCAAGAGAAGGCAACGGTTAGCCACAACTCGCAGTTATTCAGGTAACTATTGAAGAAATTCTTCCTTAATTTCATCACTCCAGGAATACTTCTTTATCTTGTGTTTGACGGAATATGTGGCTATGCTTTTACTGTGTGGGTTATCTTAATCTTGTGCGGTACATTGATTAAGTGCTGAATTTTGTTTTCGTCATGATTCTCGTATGTACCATGCTAGCGGCTTCTCCTTTATTTAAGTTTTATAGAGTTTATTTGCTTCAATGTGAGGCTTATGCAAGTAATTTTGTCTTGTAGGTTTTCATTTGATCCATCAACTAAGCTGGGACTTGATGTTGCCTCGTGCCTCATCACAAGGTATCTTCTTCAACTGCAAGGTGTCGTGTCTTTTTTAGGGGAAGCCCTTATCGCTGTCACTGCAAGGCGTCATGTCTTTACTGGGAGGATCTTTTTGTGTCGAATTTGAATAAATTGTGCTTATATATATTTCTTCTTCCAAATTCTATATACATGCATGCTTCCTATTATCCTATTTGAAGCCAGTGTTCTTATGAATAACAGTTGTGCAAAGCAAAATGGCCGTTTCTGTTTCTCAAATCAAAAGGCTGATGTTCTCTGCTGTCTGTTCATGTTCAGTGAATCCTTTTAGCAATTTGGTAGCCTTATCTAGAGAGTAGAGGCTGGATTGGTTTGTAGACCATTTGCACACATTTTAGCAGTTGGTATGCTTCCTATCCTGTGTGTTGACTACCTGAGATGAATTCATTGCAGGGCACCTATCGGTGAGGAAGTTGAGGGAAGAAGAAAATTTGTGATTCGACCGTAAGTTCTATGCTAAATGAATCAAATGCATAGTGTAAAGTGCCATCTACCTGAACGCCCTCTTGGAACATAATTATTTGATGTAAAAGCATTAGCGCAAATAAGAAAGAAGCATAAATGGAAGCTGATCTCCAGTATAGCAATACTTGTAATTTTCTCTGATCATATCATGTTTCCTTCAGGTACACACCTATCTCTGATCCAGATTCTAAAGGATACTTTGACCTATTGATCAAGGTATGTTAAAAAGTCACTCTATAAATTCCAGAACTTGTAATTGTCTTATAAATCATTAGAGTTCCAATTTAAGTTGGTCATGGAAATGGAATCAGGACTAATAGAATAATGGTCTGCCATTTGATTTCTGTTCGTGTGCATAATTTGTGTTTTTTTTTTCTTTTTGCTAATTGTACTCTGTACAGGTTTATCCTGATGGGAAAATGAGTCAGTATTTTGCAAGTTTGAAGCCAGGAGATGTTCTGGAAGTCAAAGGGTATTATGACATGAAAATTGTATTGGTTTTTATGTATGCTGCTGCCTTTTGTCACTCAAGCTTTTTATGATTTTGCTAGGCCCATTGAAAAGCTCAGATACAGCCCAAACATGAAAAAACAAATTGGGATGGTAAGATAAGCCTCAACTTTGACCTAGTTCTTGACCTTTTGAATTCATCCCCGAAAGGATAACGATGGATAATTTATTCATGTATTTGTTTCAATTCTTTTTAGCTATAGGTTTGTTTTACTTGATTAGAGAGGAACCCTGTAACCATACTATAGCTGTTGAATAATGTGCATGCCTTTGATTCCAGATTGCTGGTGGTACTGGTATAACACCAATGCTGCAGGTTGTCAGGGCTATCCTCAAAAACCCTGATGACAACACTCAGGTAAGCTAGCGCCACAAACTCTGAAGTTTCTTCAAAATTGGTTCTTTTCATGCATTTTAGCCACGCTTTAGCATCTTTCTGAGAAAGCATTGTTTCAATGTTCACATAGCCACATGCCTCAGTAGGCATTCTGCCAGAAACCAGAGCAGATTGATGTCTTTATTTTCACGCGATCTTCTCAAGCAACGACAGCAGTTTTAAGGGTGGACTATATTCTACCCATATGTATTCTAAATTTCTAATTTATGTTCTTATTCTGTTTATTCATATCTAGGTCTCATTAATTTATGCCAACGTATCACCAGATGATATCTTGCTCAAAAGAGAACTGGATAGACTTGCCAGTAGCTATCCTAACTTCAAGGTTGGTATTGCAGTGAGTAGTACATCAGGACATGGATAATTTTCTTGTGTATGTGTAATGTTGTCCTTGAAAAATTACAGGTATTTTATACAGTTGATAAACCGTCAACTGACTGGAGGGGTGGTGTTGGTTTTGTTTCAAAGGACATGGTTTTGAAAGGTTTGCCAGGCCCTGCGGAGGACTCTCTGATTCTTGTGAGTACTTCATGCATTCATGACATATCTGTTGAGGAGTTTCTTCTTCTGAATATTTGTGTTTTTAACAAAGTCATTTTGATTAATTTTGTTTATGTAAACTTAATTCCCCTATGTCACCATATAGGTGCATCCTAACAAAAAATCCCTCCTAAATTTTTCCTCCAACAATTTCTCTATCTCAAATAACATATAGGGTGGATAACATGTGACCCCGTATTTGAGGGAGAGAGAGGGTGACTTAGGATACCATACCACTAAATATAGGATGTTGGATAGGGGGGCTGTTGGAGGGTGATTGTTGTTGCATAAGCCTTAATTTTGACCCTAAAAGGTTGGATAGGGGAACTCTTGGAGATGCTCTTAAGGTTGCTTATGATCTTCAACATCATCTTCATTTCTTGAATTGTTAATAGCATCTGTTTCATGATTTTTGTTTATTCAGGTTTGTGGTCCACCAGGAATGATGAATCACATATCTGGAGACAAGGCCAAGGATAGATCACAGGGCGAGGTATTGTGGATTTTTTTTGGTTTATTTTTATTGCTGGTTGTAGTTTATGAACATTGTAATCTGATGACATGCTTGAAGAAAGCCAGTGGTAGGACAACTGAAAAACATACTGATATAGTGATACACCTTTTTTCTTCCCAACTAACTTGAAATGTGAAAACTTGGATTTTTTTTTTGTTTTGTTTTATGGAAATACAATATGGGCGGCACCTACTGAGGAAGCTTATATTATAACTAAGACAACAAACTAGATTTACATTCCACTGGAGCATGCCTTCCGTTTATGCTTCTATTGCCCTTCTTTCTGTAACCATGTTACTGTTTCGTTAATCCAATTTTGGTTTATGTGTTGTGCAGCTCTCTGGCATTCTGAAAGACTTAGGATACACTACAGAGATGGTATACAAATTCTGAGAAGACAGTAGATTCTGCTGACATACACATACTTGCTGCCCGGCAGTCAATAAAACACACCTGAACTTTTTGCTATTGTTGCAGCGTCTGGCTCTGAACTGGAAACAGTTTTGACTTGTTTCCTTTTGTAATAAATAATGTTCATCTGAGAATTCTAGGTCTAGGTTGCGAGTTATTGAGCTGATGGCTGCAGTGATCTGCAGATGCCAAGCTGCGATGTTTACGAAAAATCTAGTATGTTGGCACTTGAGATAAAGCTATCGAGTTCTAGTCAGACAGTTGCAGTGAATTCTAGTATGTTGTTGTTAAGATGGAACCCAGCCATTTGTGGCAATCATTAGCACTTCAGCAGTAGTAAAGGTGCTTGGATGCTGCGTGTGGTCGCGCTCAAGTTCTGCGGTCTGCGCCGTTGGTCCGAATGTGCCGTGGCTTCTAGGACGTTGCCGTTGGTGGATGTCGTAATCGTGGGAGCCGGGAGGAACTTTTTTTGATCGGGTACAGAGCCGGGAGGAACCTGGATAGGGAGGCTTTGTTCTGTTGCCGTTCGCATGAACTGCTTACCACACGGTTCTTTAGTGACCGTTAGCGTCCTGGCCTTACCTAGACCTCACTTGATGTTGTCATGGTCAATCGGAGAGGTGTACTGTGTCAGTGTTCAGAGCTGGTAACGTGAATTTGCTGCAGTGACGCTAACTGCCATGGACGGCGAATTGAGAATAGCATTATTGCCTGATTACGGGCTATAGCAGTAGTTGCCGTGGTTGACACATTGGGCTCGTCTTTCGTCAGCGTTTAGATAGGTTAGAACACAAGTTGGGGGTAGCGCAGCCATAGATTAGACCATATCCACGGATGGTTTGTCTTAGTTTAACTCATTGCAGAGTGCAGACAAACCTCACTTACATAGTTAACGATTAAGCATATTTGGCCGTCGCCATCATCGGACCCCTTATCTCGGCAATTTTCCGATTTTTCACCAATCCGTGGATGTGGATACGTCTCTTATTTAGCTAGGTCCAAATCATTCTCTTCCTCCCTCACTCAAGTCATTGCACGCCACTCCATACAAACTCTCTGTTCACTCACAAACCGCAGAGTGAGAAGGGAGGAGGATGGCAGGGCTGCAGAGATCTTCGCAAACATTCAGGAGGTCTGGCTCATCAGGCTTGGTCTGGGACGAGCGGCTCATGTCACAGGACGGCAACCAGAGGGAGCCAGAGGACGCAGCCATGGAGTTGAAGGAGCTGAGGCACTCCCGTAGCGTTGGCTCCGTTGGGCTGCAGCGCAGGCGCAACGACGACAACAGCCAGGGCTTCCGTACTCGGCGTGTAGCCCCAGCTCTGGACCCGCCTTCGCCCAAGGTTCCTGGCTGCATCTTCTGCGGAATTTTCAGGAAGGCAGGAGCTTCACGGCCATCTAAGCCCAGAAGGTACTAGCTAGGCTGGTCTACTCTGGGAACAGGGACCGTCAGTTTTCCTTGAGCCTGCAAAGGTTTATGTTACTCGTGTATGGATGCTAGATGAGATGTATAGTTGTAGTTTGGACAAGCTTGTCTGTTTCTTCTTCCTGTGTTGCTGTGTTTTTTTCCTTTGTAGCTCTACCTACACCCATAAGCTGTATTCTTGAATGACTACCTCTTCCATCATGTACATAATAGAGTTTGCGCATCTCTTACTAGATTACAGCATATATGTAATTACGAGTACATGAACATGGTGCTCTTGCTTGTATGCTTCTACATGAATATGGTGCTCTTGTTTGACACTTTGACTTCAAGCTCGTTCTGAATTGTACACAACCATGCCGCTTGGGATCAACCAAAACCAGCCAGAGTATGGTTGGTGACTCAGCACGTGTTAAAAAGAAGCCATCTTATCTTAGCCTGATATGCTGCAGCATCGTATCTTTTCCGTTAGAACAAATCCATTTCATGATTTTACCCAGTCCAGTCAATGAATTTGCATATTTTGGACTGCTTTGGCCTAGTTCCCTTTGTCAGTTGAGACATAAAGCTTCTAAGCTGAAAATTATTATTTTTGGAAGTGTCTAAGCTGAAAAATCTCACATAGGATCATCATGAGAAACGCGAATACTAATCGGCTGATGGTTTCTACGGCTGATAAGCTGGCTGAAGCTGATTTATTGTGAGAGAAAAACATTGTTCCATAGCTGATAAGTTCAAACGAACACGGAGCAATGAGTCGTAGTTTGGCTGTTCCTCCAATTATTGCTACTTGGTAGTTTGGTTCCTCCAATTATTGCTTAAACAATTAGTCGTAGAATTTCTACACAAAAGAGGACGGGTGGTTATTGCCTCGCAGCACATTTGATCTCACCTTCTTGGCTTCTGGTGTTCAAATGCTTGCAAGCAGCACAGTACCTGGTATTGTTGCATTGTTTGTACATTGAAATTGAACAGATGTTGGTTACAATAAAGTTTTTTGTTTTGTATGTCGGACTGTTGTTCTGCATTTCTCTCTTTCTATAGTACTCCTGTACTGGTGTAAACTAGAGGAAGCCTGCAACTGTGGCGTGTATGATGCAGACTTGAGACGAACTAGCAGAAGAGTATGGGCACACGACTGAGGAGGAATAATGGAATTTCCACTAGTAATAAAGCTATTCGTTAGTGGTTTCCACTTGTTGGAATTGGCATGGTTGCCGGGACCGTATGCAATATTTGTGGCCTTTCTTTTCCCGATGACCAAACAAGTTTGTTTCTGATCTCCTTTTGGAAAATTCAGAAATTAAGTACTTAATAATGACCTATCCCAGAGCAAAATTAGATGGCTGGCAGTAAATATATCATGAGTTTTTCCATAGTACTAGTGATATGTGAAGGCATGTTTGGGTCTCATTTGAGAATCTAGATTCTAGATAGTGAATAGAGAATCTAGATTCTAGATACTGTGAAGAACTGAATATATATAGAGAGAATCTGAATTCTGGATAAAAATATGAGGGGTGTTTAGTTCTTATATATTCTCACAGTGATTATTGCCTTTGCATAGTAATAAAAATCTTTAAATAGTAGATTTTGGCATATTGTTGGATTCTAAAATCTCATTCTAGAATCTAAAGTTCTGGATCTCCGCCGCCTTATTTTCCCACCTCTTTCTCATTTTTCATGTGATCCAAATATGACCTAAACTGTAAACTTTGAGAGTAATATACTACCTGGCAATAAGGGGATGCCGGATGCTGGGTTCAAGTTTGAGTGGCCTTTGGGACAGCCTTTTGGTCTGAAGTTGATTCAAGGCAAAACTAGAGATCCGGTTTGACCACTACACACATTCTTTTGGTCATTTAAGTCCTCAAACAGTATATTTAAGTTCGTGCTCCACTTTATTTAAGAGCAATTTTTTGCATGTTGACCAAATAAGGTTATTACCAGTACTTGATTACATACAATTATTATATTGACTTCGTTTTGTAAGGTCCCTGTCACTATTCTGTTCCGGATAATCAGATTATGCAGCCAGAGCTTGTTGACCTTCCTGCATATTCTCGAGTTTTCTGCTACTTAATGTGGTCACTCTCAGTGAGCTAATTACTTGAAAGGCCAAGCTGGATATCCACACATCCATCTGTTTTTTTTTTCTTTGTATCTAGTTTTGTTTTGAAGCACTTCTAAAGTTGCTTTTTCCTTACAATGATGAAGTGTCCCATTTACACATTTCTTTTCATTGTGCATGTTTGCTGCAGTATTGCAACTTATAGATATGTGCAAAAATGTCTTTTCATTGGATGGAATGCTGAGATGGCATTGAGAAGTTGGGCATAAACTGAGTTATGGCCACTATGGCACTGTACTCTGACTGACATTGATTTGCACCTGGCTAATTGTTGTTTTTTATTTTCATACCGTAAATTTTACTAGATTTATAGAAAATACATGCAATATTTGTATCTCCAAATAAATATATTTATTATGAAAATAGATTCAACGATCTATCTAATGATATTAATTTTGTACCATAAATATTATTATTTATATACATATTTAGTCAAAGTTGTTTCTCGGGAAGCAAAACGATAGTTATTTAGGGATAGAGGAGTAATTCAAACGGAAAAGTAAGAAGGGTCCACAAACTTCTCGGGAAGGGTTCAAAATTTCGGCGAAATTTCGGCCGAATTTCACGAAATTCGGTAATTTCGGTGGTGGCCGAAAGAAAACTCCGAAATTTTTTAATACACTAATACATGTGCTATATAACTCTAATCTTATATTTTTCTATTGTTTATATTGCATATTCTTCTATTTAATAGATATGTAGTCATAAATCATACTAATATTTGTTTAGATCCAAATTTTTTTTTAGATAAAACATACTTCATGTGCTAATCTCTAAAAAAAATTAGGCGAAATTTCGGCCGAATTTCGCGAAATTCGGTAATTTCAGTGGTGGCCGAAATTTTGACGATACCGAAATTAAAAACCTTGTCGGGAATAAGTTGCTTTCACATAATTATGACAAGGATCTTCCAACGAACTGACTAGTATGTAACTCATGAGCACATAACCAACTTGTTGTTTGGCTCTGAGGAACATGTGTTAACTCTTCGCTCAAGTTGATACAATACATGTGAGTGGTGCTGGGGTTCCACTTCCACATGCTTCGTACCCCCTTCGAAGAAGGAAACGTTTGAAGCTGGTACCTGGTAGACGTGGTCACAACGGTGTTAACAGATTGTTGTATTTTTTTACTCTTTTCTGAGGGAAATATACTATTAAGTATAGTTTATCTACTGAGGGAAATGATGATGGAAGCTTTTATTTCTGCCTACTATTATCCTAGAATAAAATTGGTTCAATTTATGAGAAAAAGTAGACTCAAAATCATACGACTAGGAAGGATGTGTCACATTTCTCTCGATAACTCTGATAGAACGAGAAACATGACTAACGCCACTTTTTATGGAAGGAAACTAGGGGAAAACCTTCATTAGCACTGCTCCGTGAAAAAGCAATTTGAACAGGACAAACCTACCAAGAGAAACTGAACCACCCAGAACCGAAACTTGCTCACGAAAACATCAATGATTGTACATGGAAACAACTCAAAACATATCGGCACAACAACTAAAGAACAACCATAACTTTGTCATCATTGCCTAGTTTGCTGCACGAAATGTGATAGCGCATCTCAGACTTCTAGCCAAAGTGCGACGCTAGACAACTTTTTTGTGAGGAGCCAATGTTTGAGGTCCTGAATTTCCAAGCCAGCGAAGGAATCCAACTGAAAGTAGAAGTCAATATTCCACCACCTCATGACCCAGTAATCTGCAAAAACTGCAGAAGATGGGTAGCTTCTCATATTGCACCAAATACTTCTTACATTCTCTCAGGGTTATCGACACAACCCTTATCAACGGTTTATTCAAGTTTAGGAAAACCCTGGCTCTCAGATAGGTCGCCAGGTTTATTTTCCCTTCATTCACTATCATAGTAATGGGCAGCTCCCCAACCTTCCTGGCAACCTTCTCTGCTAACTCTTTCTTCTTCACCAAACCTCCTGGGATACCTTGGATTCATGCCCAAACTGAGATTCTATCTAGCTTATATTCATGCACGTTGGAGAATCCATCATACTCTTCAATCACCACCAGCAATCCCCTGAATAACCAGGGACCGTTCACCATTACCTGAGTCCAATCTCCTAGGCACTGTAGCTGCACTAGGAAAAAATTTGGTCCCAAAACCTTAAAACTGATTTCCTTCGCCGTCGACCATGCGATACACATTACACTCAATAGCACCACACGACTGAAAGGTTTTGTGGTATGAACCCTAAAGAGGGCCAGCCACCTGACATCCTTGATCAGCCCTTCAATCTCCTCCAAGAAGTCAAGATCAACTTCCTCCTCTCCTTGCAAATTCAGGGCTTCAATCCTCTCCTCTAATATTGGTCACACCCCCTCATACACCTCCTTCTCCTTCCCCGAGGACCCCCGATCCCCCATGCTGATGGTGGAACGTTTAGACAGTGCTTCGCCTTGGCAAAAATTTTGGGAACGTACATAGTCTCCATTAATACTGTGTAGAAATCTCAAGGAGTTGTGAACTCTGTCAGTAGCGCAGCTAGAGACTGAGTTAGTTAAGTTTTTCTCCCTATGCCCAGACTCACGACTCAGCGAGAGCCGCCGCCCCTTGCCTCCACCGTTGGTCCCCCTCCCTTCTCCTCTGGCATCTCGGCGGAAGTCAAAAGGAGTGGAGATCCATAGTTTTTAGTAAGTTTCCTAATAGATCGAGTATTAGGGTTAGGGTCTCTCAATGCCAAGTTTTCTAGTAGGGTGGATTCATTTTCTCCATGGCGGCTCTATTGAAGATGAGGACGACAACGGCGTCAGTAACTTCTTCGGCATGACGACATGGAGACTTGTTTTTTTCGGACGGCGACATCACGGCGGATATGATGTCACCGCCATGGAATAATTTTCTCCTGTCTCTTCTCCGTTTTGTTGTGGTTAGATCTGACCACGACAAAGGGCTAGGGAGATTAAGTTTCGGATCGATTTCCCTATTCTTCGGTGGCAGAAAGAAGAAGAAGAAAGACACAAGAAAGAAGAAGTTTCTCAACTCCGCCTATAAGGATGTTGGCCATCGTTCGTTGGGCATCTATTCTCAGGGCTTTTGCCGAGTGTTTATCTGTGCGGTCATCCATATGAATCATCATACATATTTGGATTTGAGATTTAGAGCTATACAAAGCGTGAATACAATTTAGATGATCAGTTTCTAGATACACATAATGTATTTCAGAGTGCGTATAATGTGATCGTATACTCAGCTATAATCTAATAAATTTTTCTTTCGTCTAAAAAAAGACTTAGTTACGGTACCAACAGCGGTTTGTCGTGGGTTTCTTGATTGAGGAGGGCACTTCTCAAGTTGCTTTAACACGATTATAGGAAAGTTTTGTGGCAGCCAATAGACGAGGCGCGTGATTTGGAAGTGACAAGGGGGCTTGATCGGAGGGATGGACACGCAGCTACGCGTTCAAGAGGTCGCCGTCAGATGCGGTGGAGGCGTGTATGGTGCCACGCCGCGCCACGCTTCCCCAGCCCCGGCCGTAGGATGGTGGGTGCCGTGCACGGCGGGGATGGCGTCTCATCCAAAACCCCCCAACCCCACCGACCTCCATTTCTGTCCCCGCCCACCTCTTCCGCCCTCCCGTCCCCGTCCCCGTCCCCGTCCCCGTCCCGCACACAGACTCTTTCTCTCTCCTCTCCTCTCTTCTCTCGTCCTCTGTCTCGTCCGATCTGCATCTGCTTTTCTTCCCCTCCCCCCTTGTCTCCTGTCCTTGGCGTGCGCAAAGATTCGATTTTTCTCGGGGAGGAGGCGGAGTCCGAGCAGGAGTGGTGCGCGGGAGGAAGGAGATCCTGATCTGTTCTTGGAGTGGGGAGGAGGAGGAGGAGGAAGATGGCGGCGCAGGAGCAGGAGCACGAGAAGCAGCAGGCGAAGACGAGCACCACGAGCTCGCTCCCCTCCAGCAGCGAGCGCTCCTCCAGCTCCGCCCCCAACAACCTCAGGGAAGGAGGTACGTGCCGCGCCCAACCCATGCACCACCCTCTCAGATTTCCTGCATCATTTTTTTTTTGGTTTCGTCAGCTAAACTCCGCAGCTGAAGTTGCCGCTGCGCGCATGCCACTGCAGGGGTGGAGAGCGAGGAGGAGATACGGCGGGTGCCGGAGATGGGCGGCGCGTCGGCGTCGGCCTCGTCAGGCGCGGGCTCGGACGAGCGCCCCAAGGAGGACGGCAAGCAGGGGCAGCTGGCGGCTGCCGCGGGGGCGCAGCCTCCGGCGGCCGGGAAGAAGCGCGGCCGCACCGCGGGGGACAAGGAGCAGAACCGGCTGAAGCGCCTGCTGCGGAACCGCGTGTCCGCGCAGCAGGCGCGGGAGCGGAAGAAGGCGTACCTGACGGAGCTGGAGGCGAAGTCCAAGGACCTGGAGCTCCGCAATGCCGAGCTCGAGCAGCGGGTGTCCACGCTCCAGAACGAGAACAACACGCTCCGCCAGGTGCCGCCTCGCCTCCGTCCGTCCCCCCATTCGTTTCCGCGGTTCGATCTGAGCTCCGAAGCGTTCCTCTCGTTCTGATCGACTGACCCGCCTGGTGCTCCCGCCGCGCAGATTCTGAAGAACACGACGGCGCACGCGAGCAAGAGGAGCGGCGGCGGCGGTGGCGGCAAGGGCGGAGACGGCGGCAAGAAGCACCACTTCGCCAAGAGCTGATGAGAATGAGAGAGGGACCTGGTCCGTGCTCGCGCTCGCCTGATCTGACCATTGTTGGCGTGTTGCTGTTGCTGATGACGTCTTCTTCTCCTTTTCTTCTTTTCTACCGTGCTTGTGTTCGTCTGCCTCGCTGATGCACTGTTTTAACTGTTGTTACGTAGCAATCCCGTCTCTCCGCCCGTTGGTAGGACAACTCACCACTACTGGTAGTTAATTTTCTTGGTAGGGTGTCAGTGTAATTTTCTCATTGTACTGTACTGTAATTCAGCCGTGCGGTTTGGCAATCCAATTCAAGATTACCACCGTGCCAGAGCCTTATGCTTTCACTTCTTGGAGAAAACTGAAAAAGGGTCACCGAAGGAGCATATAAATTGTTGCGCAGGGAAAACGTGATAACAATCACACACGTCATACATACTTGTGAGAGAATTCAGCAACTGGTGCTGGAATCTGCATTAGGAATCTTGGGTGCTCTTCTTCAGGCCGATGCAAACAGCATGCATACTTGATTACTTCCGTGAATTCAGCGTCCTTTTTCTCGTTGCTTAACTTGTGACGGTTTGAGGCTTTGAGCATAAAGCTGTTTGTGGTCTCTACGTGTCCGGCGTGGCTTGCAACATGAGATACATGTACACTTTTGGGCAAGCTTTTTGGGCATGGATGCACATGCCATGCGCCCATACGGTGGTTGGCTGAAGAATCTGCTGAAGGGGACACCATTTGCATCTCACAGCCTGTTCGTTTGGATGGTTCGTTTCGTTGCTGGTTCGTGAAGTACTGCTGGCTGGGTTGTGTGAGAAAAAAATACTATTCCGGCTGAAAATTTACGATCGTTTACGACAAGCCACGGCCAAACGAACCGGCTCAAATTGTTTCAAAGGGTTCGGGACTTGTCGAAAGCAACGCGGCGGTGTAAAACCTCTCCGCACTCCTGCACGACTTGCTCTCTTCATTCACAGGCTCTCATCGTAAATTAAAAAGAAGAATAAAATCAGCATGAGATCAACAGCTTTGTCTGTCGAATGCTGTTCCGTTTTGTTCGCTAATAACGTGCAAACACTTCACTATTTTATTCAGGCGTAGCGTAGGAGTTTCGAATAACGGTATTACAAAAATCTTTCAAACATTCCTGGTACGTGGCCAAAGCTCATGATATTCTTGATGGGCGCTAAGTATGCTCAGAGTGAACACTACAAACCATCAACTTTCTAATCACCTGAAGTCCTTAACTCTTCTGAACCTCAGCTCCCCAACGTTACGACAATCAGATTAGCGCTAGCTCTCTATATTAGAGATAACGCGCGCGATCGGTATTAATTTTTTCGGCATCATCGACGAGTAAATCTGCCTCACCGGCGACCCATAAAAATCTGCCGGGGTGGTACGAGTCAGCCTGCCCCAGGTGCCAGCCTCAAACGGCGTGGAGCAAAGAAAGCAGCACGACGAAGAACTTTTTCAGTTGCTAGCTACGTGTGCGTCGACCTCATCGTGTATTCCGCGACGAGCTTGGAGAAGAGCGACGACTTGTTCTCCAGCAGCTTGGCCGGCGTGTCGCGCTCCACGGCCACACCTGCAAAGCAGCATCACGGCGTCAGAACAAAAAAAAACAACAAAGTTAAAAAATGAAATTAGGCGGGTGGTTTGCGTGGCGCTAACCGTTGTCGAGGAGAAGGACCATGTCGCTGTCGAGGACCGACGTGATCCTGTGCGCGATGGTGATGACCGTCGCCTCCGAGAATTGCTGCCGAAGCGTCTTCTGGATCAGGTTGTCTGTTGCGGTGTCCACTGAAGCGGTGGCTTCGTCCAGGACGACGATCTTGCTCCGCTTCAGGATTACCCTACCAAGGCATACAAGCTGACGCTGACCCACGCTCCAGTTCTCGCCGTTCTCTATCACTGCAACCCAACAGATTGAGAGGACTTCAGAATATTATCAACGGGAACATGCGCACCTTCTGCATTTTTTGGAACCTAGTGCTAGGCTAGGAATGTGAATAGTGTGGGATGTGAAAAGTGAGGAAGAAAAGAACTACTGTAGTGTTGGACCTGGTGAGTCAAGCTTGTGTTCCTTCCTCCTCATCTCATCACCTAACTGACAGCAATCCAAGGCCTGGAATCAAGAGTAACAGATGGATGCTGCAACTTAGCTAAAATTGTTATGTGAGAGTGTAATGTAACAAATGGCAAGCCTTGAGCATATGAAAGGTGAAATTACCTCCCAGATTTGACTGTCAGTGTACTCCCCAAGAGGGTCAAGGTTACTTCTCACAGTCCCCTCAAACATGGTTGGCTCTTGTGGAATGATGCTCAGTCTAGATCTCAGATCGTGCAGACCAATGGTGCAAATGTCGACGCCGTCTATTAGTATCTGGCCAATAGTTGGGTCCACGATACGGAAAAGAGCCTGTATAAGGGTGGATTTGCCGCTTCCTGTTCTTCCAACAATACCGGTCTTCAGGTCTCCAGGGAAGGTGACTGTAAGTCCCTTCAGAACAAATGGCAGCTGCGGGGCATATTTCACCTGCATCAAACTAGAAGTTAAGGGCACATTGCACCTAAAATAGTTCTTTCGCTGTCTTTTTACCAGACTTGATTTATGTCAGTTCAATAACAATGAGGAATCATGCAGCTTCTTCAGAACAACATTGCAATGCAGAAAAAGAGGATTTACATGGAGGTCGTGGAGCTGAATTTCTCCTTCGGATGGCCAGTTATGAGCCAGCTTATCTTCTGACATGGAAAGAGGTGGCTCTGCAGGAATGCTTATATATTGCAGAATTCTCTCTACTGATATAATCTTGTTCTCCAAAGTGCACATGCTCCAGACAACCCATGCTTGCAGCATGTTCAGGTTAAGCCCATATGTGACTGCAAGACCAGCAATTCCTGAAAGTAGGATGTGATGTTAGTTACAAGCTCTCTTCAACTCAGACCAACCCTTTTTATTAACAAACAATTGAGTGGAACAATAAAAACTGTTCAAAACTGATGTGATACCTGGATCGATGAAACCCGTGGGTAGATTGATCAAGAATATTAAAGAGAATGCAAATGTAAGAGATGACAGCACATCCAGGCGAAAGCAAAGCCATTCCATCGCTCCAGCATTGTAGAATTTCGGTCTGGAGTAGGCATCCATTAGATGGCTATTTGCCGATACAAACTGATTTTCCTTGCCAAAACTTCTGATGGTGGTTGATCCTGTTATTGATTCTGCAAAATGCTGTATGATAGGAGCTTTGCAAACACCTACTAGCCTTTGCAGCTCCCTGGCTGTATCAATGTAGTATCGCTGCAAAAAAAGGCAGGTCAATTAGATACCTATGACTAGATCTATGATGAAGGGGATAAAGGTGGCCAATCGTACCTGATACCAGAAACAGGTAGCAACTACAGGAATGAAAACAACAAACACCTGCCATGCAACCTGAGACATCACAGCAATGATTCCAACAAGTTGTATGACAGCAAATGCAACAGAACCCATCTGGTATGCAATGCTGGTGTCCACTTCGCTCTGATCAGTGGAAGCCTGAAAAGTTTGAAGCATCTGTTAGCATAGTCCAAGAAAATAAGTAGAACTTGAGAAATTGTTCACATGAAGATGACTTACTCTGTTCAAGATGCGCCCACTCGGAGTGGAATCAAAGAAAGACATAGGAGCTCTAAATATGGACATGTGCATCTTGTCGAATAATAGAGTCGCTGTCTTGTATGAGGCTGTTACAAGAAACAACGCTCTTAGGAGGACGCACAACGAGCTTCCAACAGCCAATGCGATATAGACATATATCAGTGTTGACATGCTCACTGGAGGCTCAACGTCCTTTGAGACGGGAGCAGCCCAAGCCATCCAGTAATTGCTCCCAATTTGTAAGACTTGGAAAAGTAGCTGTCCAAGCAACACTAACGGTACAAGTGCACCCTTATAAGCTAAGGTGAGGTACTTCCAGTAGACCCAAAACCCAACCTTGCCTTTCTCTCTTTCTTCTTCCTGCACCAGCTGTCCACTCTGATTGTTCCCTTCGTCCTGTTTATCTTTCTTCTCAGCTGACGATAGAGATCTGGTCAGTTTTGCTGTACCTCTGGAAGGGGATCCCTCGCTGCTTCCGTTTGCAGCATCGATTGTGTCCAATTCTGCGAGTGCATCCTTGTGTGCACCAACTAGCTCCATGAACTCTTTTCCTGAACCAAGTATTTCATTGTATTTTCCTGCCTGTGCTATTTTGCCATCTTTCATCACCTACAACACAGTCCTAGTAAGGAGAGGCATCCGTTTTATTGCAATGAATAATGGATGGAAGTTTTACCAATAAAATTCTCACCAAAATAAGGTCAGCTGACGGTAGGAATTCAATCTGATGAGTAACATAAACTACTGTTTTTGAAGACAGAGCCCCGAGCAAGCATTCCTGCAAAAATAAGCAGGCACCAGTGTTTGAAACTTCTACTGAACATAAAAGGTTAAGCTTAAGTATAACAAATTGTGTACCTTGAAAAGGTGGGACCCTGTATGAGCATCAACAGCACTGAATGGGTCATCGAACAAATAGATGTCTGCTTCCTGATACAAAGCGCGGGCTATCTGAATCCTTTGCTTCTGCCCACCACTCAGGTTGATCCCTCGCTCTCCGATGACAGTTTGGTCACCGAATGGCAAGATCTCCAAGTCTTTCTTCAGTGAACACAACTCAAGGACTCTTTCATATTTGTCCATGTCCATCTCCTTGCCAAACAATATGTTGTCCTGAATTTTGCCACTCTGTATCCATGCTGACTGGCTGACATAAGCCGTCGTCCCGCAAATCTTAACCTCTCCTGACAACTTTGGGATCTCACCAAGAATGCAAGATAGCAAGCTCGATTTACCAGAGCCCACTGTCCCACAAACTGCAACACGCATGCCTTGCTGAGCTTGGAAGTTCAGGTCCTTCAGCGTTGGCAATTCCGGTGAGGCATCCCAGGAGAAGCAACCGTTGGTGACCTCAATTGCAACATCTGAACTACCATTTGGCAACCTCTGCACAGCATCAGTCGGCAATTCCTCAAGACATAGGAATGATGCTATCCTGTCCAGAGACACCTTGGTCTGGATCACCATTGAGATCGTGTCAGGAAGGTTGTATATTGGCTCCTGCAGCACGCGGAACGTGGCCAAAGCAGAAAGCACTTTCCCTGACTCCAATGGAATCCCCATGAGCATGCACGCCCCAAAGGTCACCACAGCAACGAAAGTCGGGGCCCCCCAGAACACAAAGGTAACCAAAGTCGATGTGTAGAGGTATTTCTTCAGCCAATTTGTCTCTGTCTTCCCTCAACTCAATGATCTTGGACAAGAACTTCATCTCCCACCCCTGCAGCTTCAGAATCCGCATGTTGCGCAGGATCTCAGACGTTGCCTTCATCCTGACATCCTTGCAGTCCATGAGCTTCTGCTGGAACTTCTCCTGCATTCGCCCAGGAGGCACATTGGCAAGCATGACGACCACGGTGGCTCCAAGTGCGGCGAGGGAAGCGAGCCCGAGGGTAGAGTACAGGATGAACAGCGCCATGACCACTTGCAACGGCACCAGCCAGAGGTCGTGCATGTACCATGAGAACATCCCGACGCGGTCGGCGTCGACGCTGATGATGTTGATCATCTCGCCGCTCGTGCGGCTCTGCCTCGACTGGCTTGACAGTGCGAGGCCCTTCTGGTACACAACGGCAACAAGCGCGGAACGCGCGCGTATCCCTGCCTGCTGCAGCCGGAAGAACCAGTGGCGCTGCGACAGGCACTCGAATACCTTGGCGACAATGAACGCGAGGACAAGGAGCTGCCCCTTGCTCGCGTACCTCTCGTCGCCGTTGAGGTACTGCACCAGGGAGTCGATGAGGTACGGGCCGACGTAAGTGGCGACGTTGTAGACCAGCGCGTAGAACGCGGTCACCGCGACGTGCCACCACACGGTGCGCAACAGGGCCTTAGTGAGCTTGAACGCCGTGACGGCCTTCCGGCCGGAGCCGGAGACGCCGCCCGCCAGCTCCTCGAGGTTGGACTTGAGCGTCGGGAGCAGGCTGGAGATGCTGTCGCCGGGGTCGAGCCCCGGGACGTCGTCCAGGCCGAGGGTCTTCTTGTGGCCAACGGCGAGGAGGGGGCCCATCCACGAGAAGGTGAGCACGCTGAAGAAACCGGCGCCGGTGAACCTGGACGCCTCGGCGTCGCTGCGGCTGTTGCCGTCCGCCGTCTCATGCGCGCCGTTGAGCAGAGGCTCCTCAGCAGAAGAGCCGCCTCCCTCCCTCCTGCCTACGAACCCAGCGCAGAACAGGACCACGGCAGCAGCAACCGAGACGGCGTCGAACACCCACGCGAGCGCCGGCACCAGGAGCCCGTCGAGGCTCGTCGCCACGTGGTCGGCGACGGCCAGGATGGACAGCAGCAGGAAGAACGCCCACCAGAGCCTGAGCGGCGCCGGGAACCGCTCCTCGCGCCGCCGCCCGAAGTCGAACTGCAGGTACGCGGCGAGCAGCAGCCACGCCACTGCGCGCGCGGCCGCGTCCACGAGCCCCACCACCGCGTCACGCGACCACCCGGAGCCGGAGGTGGCGCCCAGGTACCACGAGTAGGCCGCGAGCAGGACCTCGGCCGCCGCCAAGGCCCACGTGGCGCAGGCCGCGATCCCGTGGCACCGGAACCGGCCTCCGCCGCGGGGGCCGCCTCCACGCGCTTCCCCGTACTTGGCGCGGCCGGAGACGGAGAAGGAGAGGCCGCAGTGGCGGAACAGAAACCGCCCCGCGACGGCGAGCGCGAGGAGGACGTGGACCGCGGCGTCCACGCCATGGAGGACGAGCGGCTCCAGGGAGAAGAAGAAGTAGAGGAGTGGGACCTCGCCCGCCTTTGTCGCCGCCATCGCGGGCGGTGCGGCCGTGGACACTGGCATCTGGCGACGAGTGGCTCGAATGAGTGAGGCGGAGGGTGAGCGAGTGGGTTTATATAGGCGACACGTCGCCGCGGGCGTCAGCGGCCCCGGGCCCTCCTCACGGCGACGCCCCGCGGTGGCGGTCAAAGATGGCTGCCGCGCGCGCCTCTGGGGTCTGGGCTCCTTGGAGTCCAAGGAACCGTCCCCCTCCCTCCCCAGTCCCCCCACACCCACACACCCGCGGGAAAGAATCGAACGGCGCGCGTGCCGAGTTTCGCTGCCGGACCGCGACGGCGGTGGGCAGTAGGAGTTAACTTTTTGCGACGTGGCGCTGTTGGACTGCTAACTATTTACGGCGGAGAGTAGGGTTAAAGGAGTGCGGTAAGAAAGGATTACGGGATCTCTCGGTTCTGACGATGCGTTTTGTTTGTTTAGAAGAAGATTATTACTCCTGGATGGGAAGGGTGGTTATTCTCGAGGGCTTGCGGATTTGTCGCTGCTCGTCGTCTCCCTGCCGGTGAGATCTTTTGCGCGCTTCTCCAAAAATATGAAGGAGCGCATTGGCGGAGCGGGCAGTTCAGAGAAGCTGCGCCGTGGATTCCTGAAGCAGGAGAAACACTAACGTGACTTTTGGACGAATAATGAATTTCGGTCGTTTGTTCCCGAGTGGATAGATCAGAGCTCATGTGAATGGATGTACAGTAAAACCAGCATATGGTGATATTGTTGCAATAATTTACATGTCGGTCTTGTTGATATAATATGGGCTTGGTGCATATAATATTTAATAAATTAAATAAAACTCTATGGTACGTAACATTAAGTGTTGTATGGTTTAATACCATACGAGATTTTGACTGAACGTTGACTCAGCTTATATGGTTGGAAATTATTTATCTAAATTGAGAAGCTGAGAAAAGAATAAAGGCGTGCCACACGCGCACGCGCCGCCGCCGCCGGCCGAGCCGGGGCGGGCGTGGCCAATCTTTTGCCACTTAATCCACATAATCACGGGAGTTACTCCCTTTGATGGTGGAGGCGAACTGATTGTGTCAGTTACCGTCCTTTCCGCTTCCGTTTCTCCATCTTCTGGGATTCTCCGCTGCTTCTCTCCCTTCCTGTCGCAGCCATATATCCGCAGTCCCCCGTCAGTCCAGATCACCGTCTTCCGCAACCGCTCCCACCACATCTCAACAGCCTTCTGGTTTCCCCGTCCCGTACCTCTACGTGCACGGAACAGCGGGAGAGCAGGTGCCTCCGGAACCCTCACGCCGCTTGAGAACCTTGCACGGGATGTGCGACGATTAGGTTTTTAGGGAGCGATCCGTGACTGCTCGTCCACGTACGTCTTCTTCCTGGTGGTGATCACTCTTGGATCCCGTCTTCTTCCCGGTGATTGTCTGCGGAACACCAAGGCGTCTTCTTCCTGGTGATCCGTTCGTGGGACTGCACTGCGAACATCGTCCTGCACCGACTGTGGTCCGCGACTTCGAGCAACGTACTATGTTAACTAGTGCGAATGGAGCCTCCGATGCCCTCGGCATGAGACCCTCCGCTGGGTACAGTCTAATCTTTCTGATCACTGTAATCTGCATTTTTACTGTATTTATCTGTATGTCATCTCTGCATGCTGTAGCGTTCGTTAGAGATATACACATGCACATATATGCCGTCACGAACCTGCTGATATTATTTTTCTGGATTAAACTGGTAATGAAAATGCCTAAATTTCTAACATGTCTCATGTGAGTATCCAATTTAATGAACTTGTGCTATGGTGTCACTCGAATTTCAAACTCGAATTTTGATGACGATCCAAGTCAGGGGTGGGGGCGCTATGGCTAGAGTTTGGCGGAGTTCATCGGAGGTCGCCATGGCTGCATGCGAGAGGGGGCGGGGGAGGGGAAAAAGGAGGTCGCCACGGGCGGTAGGGTCTCGCCGGAGCTCCAACGAGACCCTATCGCCCGCAGGGGGCCGGCGGGAGGTGGTGGAGGCGGGGGCCCTCGCGCCGGATCTGGAGGGGGTTGAGGACGGCGTCACCGGAGCTAGGCGGGGTGAGGATGAGGAGGCAGCGGGGAAGCATGGGAGGAAGAAGAAGGTATGTGCGAGGCGAGAAAGAAGATGAGGTGAGGAGGCGTGCCGGTGGAAAGAAAGAGGCATGCGCACGCATAGTGTAGTACTGCCCTTGAATCTTTGAACTTACGCAAAAATAGTGTCACCTAGTCCCAAACTCGTGGGTTAACACACAATTACCATACCTACATTATTCAATGTTAGGGCACTGCTCACCAAGACACAATTTACCATCATTTTGGTAACTTTGCTTTATTGACGAAATCGATTTACCATCATTTTGGTAACTTTGCTTTATTGACGAAATCGGAGAAGGGTGTTGAGATTAGTGCATGACGGGACGAGTAATAGATGACAGAATGTATGCATACGGGAGCTTCAAAACTTTGATGACGATCGAAGATCTCACCATCAAAATTGGGATAATGCTGCACACGTCAAAAGATAAAACCAGTCGCTGGCGAAACTGACTTGAATTCAAAAAAGGAGGCAACAGGCCAATAATAGCAAAGCTATATTCAGAATGGTCTCACATATTGTAAACTTTGCTTCTATGGCTAGTTTTGAGTGGTAGTGACCTCCGTGGCAGCATTTTCTTTCGATGGCTAGTTTTGAGTACGTAGTAGTAGTGGAGGCCGGAGGGCAATATTGCCCGGTTTACGCTTTTCGGTCCAAAAAATCGTCATCTTGTAGGATTCCATGCATTTCCTCTGGATCGGCTGGCTGCCGAAAGCCGACGCAGCGGGACTCTGAAAATCAGAAGAAGAAGAAAAAACTGGCACGACCAATTGTTCATCAGCTAGTAAGGATTAAAAGATACTCCGAAAAAGGTGCAATTCTATAACAATATGTTAAGGGTCTATTTGGATATTGCTAAAGTTTAAGTTTAGATAGATAAAAATACAGTTGACTAAAGTTTAGGTGGCTAAAAGTTTAGTGTAATTTGGATACATGGACTAAAAGAAAGTAGTTTTTTTTTACAAAATGCAGATTTTTCGCTTGGACACTAGTACACAAAAAAATCTTGACCGCAAACAACTTGATGAAGCGAGGATGGACGGATGATCCTATATGTAAACTCTGTGCAAATGATCAAGAGACGCCAACACGCCTGTGCAAAGATTGCCCTTTCGCTAAGGAAGTTTGGGAGTTGATCAAGGTGTGGTTTGGGTTAACATACCTCAACTCTATAAACACAAGTGGCTCGATCCATAATTACTGGTGAAGTTGCAGAAGAAAAGTTGACAAAAATTAGAGACAACGTTTTGATGGGATCATAGTCTACTTTTGGTGGAATATCTGAAAGAGAAATAGGCGAACTTTCCAATAAAGAAGTTCAAGCCCAAGACAAGTCGTGATGTTATGCAAAGATGATATCAATCAATTTTCTTTGGCGACAGCCCCAAGGCATAATACGGCAATCTCGCAGTAGATCTTTCTCTGTTTCGTTTTCATGTAGTTGCGTTTTTTCTTTTTTTCGGTGGTGCATGGGCTTGGGCTTTTCTTTTCCCGATCTTTGGTAGTTTTGTTAGTTGACAGTCGTTTCTCTTCATGTTTTAGCTTGTGACGTCGATGTAAATAGAGAGTTGTAATTGGTCGTTTTTTTTTTTTTTCTTCGTCTAATAAAATCCACGGCAAAGCTTTTGCCGTCCTTTCGAAAAAAAAAGACTCATATATAGTCTATGTTAGCCAAATAATGAACTAACTGCTAGTTGGGATAAAGACTAAAAATTAGTTTACTTTTAGTCTATTTGATTGGATACCTAGGACTGAAGATTAAGTAACTAAAGTTTAGTCTACAGTGTTAAACATGCTCTAAGTCAAATGATTTCAAATTTAACGAGATTTAAATAAAAAATATAATATTTTTTACTAGAAATAAGTATTGTTATATTAATTGTAAAATATATTTTTATAGAATCAGAGATACATATATTGATACTATTTTTTAAAAGCTTAGTCAAATATCCTTTGGGACGGAGATAGTAGAGATGCCTAGCTTTTTTGCGCATCTCTACTGTCACCGGTGATAAGCGGCTATAGGTCTCGCTCACTTTCGTCATTAAGGATTTTAATTTGGGTTTCTTTAACTACTACTAGTGGCGATTACCTGATACTATACATTGCCTATTGGCCGATTTAGCTTTGTTTGGAAACCTATAGAGTGCTCGCTTAAAATCCTAGTAGTTTCTACCCTATGAATACGTAATCCGCGGGATTATATATGTATTTTTTCCGTGAAAACGGAATCAGATTCAAGGTGATTCAAAATAGAAATGGCTAGCGAAATTTATTAAACAGGCCGAATATAAACGGCCGGCGCATCGTCGCGAGAAAAGTACACCTTATTTGTGCTACCGTTAGTACCGTGACTGTTCGCTTCTCTTCTAATTTATACTTTTCAACTTATTTTTTCAGTAGGAACAATATTTTTCTCTCACAATAAATCAGCCGGAAACAATATTTCATCTTATTTTTTCAGCGAAGCGAACGGAGCCTTTGCATGCTCTGAATGTCTGGATTCTAAGCTACGTGGAATGTGGTGCGTGCGTGCATGTTTCAATGATGGCTAGGTAAAGTAAGCAGGTAGTGTGTGTATATATATATATATATATATATATATATATATATATATTACACCTGGGTGCATTCTATATAGAGAATGCACCCAGGTCAAACCGACTGACGCGCACGCCCATCTGGTCCAGCCCGCACACGCTCGAGGACGCCTTGCCCGCACCACCTGGTCCGCACGTGGCACGCTCCAGCAAACCGCCTCCACTCCCTCTGTTCAGTTTCCGTTGCTCTTTTCCTCGCGAGGAACCGCCGTCGCTCGCGCTGCGCCGCCGCTCTGCCGAGAGAAAACCGCCCCCATTGCTCCGCCGAGAAAATCGCCCCCACTCGCCCTTCATTTTTGT